AACTCCATAAGGTTCATGCATTTTGGCTATCTAGTTAGGTCTCTTATAAGATACTCTTTTTCATAGTTAGATTTCTAGTAAAATACTCTTTCTCAGCATATATATATAAGCCTTCTATTGAATAGGACATTCATTTAATACAATACACATTATTTCCCCCCTCTCTCTACTATTCTAACAATTCCAATCACCACCAACACTGATGTGTGCCCTGGTTGCCGAGTGGGAGGCTTTAATTACCAATGTCTTGTCTTCTGCTTTGTTTGATACTATCAATCTTCAATCAAGTAATAAAAAATGGAAACCAAGATTTCAAAAGTTATCGTATTCATTTCCATTGGTTTAAGAAATCTCTACATTTGTTTTGGCAGAAAAAATATATATTTTTTGTAAAAAAAAATTATGATAGGTAAAATTTGAACAATCATGGTGTATAGTTAAGCAGATATCACGACAATTGAACAAATAGCATAGAAGCCAAGCATGACACGTGACAAAATAACCTGGTAAAGTTGCTGACTAGGCAATCGTCCTGTATATTAGGTTGAACAACCAAGCACAAATAGTGGGTGAATCAGATCTAAGATAAGTCCACATTTTGTGGGACTATGTTTATATCTAACTAAAATATCGCAAACATGAAATACGATCTCTCCTAAGACGAAGTAACATGGGCAAGTGGTTGCTATATATTTCTTATCAACGGTAAACCATCACACACGATAAACCTTGCGTGTGAGTGCCAACTTAGTTGAGATTGACACATGAAGTATGATTCTTGTGCACTAGCCTCTTCTTTATTGACGTATCACTTTGCATCAATTTATTTTACTTAATGGTTATCAATAAAGTTTTTTTTACTGATAAAAAAAAAAAAAGTATTAGTAAGTCATTAAACTCCATAAGGTTCATGCATTTTGGCTATCAAACTGTGACATTGAGACTTTATTATGTAATTACTAACTTAAGTATCAAAGAGTTAGTAGACACAGATTTCTTCACTTGTTACTAGTTCATGGGAGAGAGTGAGGGTTTAGTATATATTGGTGCATTCCATTGCCATCTCCCCGGTGTGACAATTTTTTTCTCATAGAGAAGTGTTTCTTTATGTTTTATTGTGAACTTAAAACTAATGTGTAATTGTAGTACTAATGAGTGGACACGGTGGTGGTGATAGTAATAGTGAGGCAATACTAATGAGTTATATAAGGGATGTGAGAGGTTTGGTAGAAAATTTAGTAATTTATTTGAGGTTCATAGCATTTTCCAACACTAATAGTAGTGGTGGCTGCTTTGATTTTATTTTAAGATCTGTGCAATGGACGGAAAGAGAAGCTTTTAGAGTGTTGGGGGATTCCAAGTTCCTGTGGATTTGAACAAGTCTAATATGTTGAAGGGGGATAGGAGTGTAAAAATGGCCCACGATCCGTGAGGGATCTGGGGTGGGCCTAGGTCGGAGCCCAGCTTGAGCTCGAGCCCCGAGGCCTGGGCCAGGGCTAGGGCCATCATTTTGAAGCCCGGCCCAGCCTGACCCGACCCATGGGCCCGACTTGTGGCCCAAACCATTGGCTCGCTTAAGGCCCATTCAAGGTTCGGCTCGAGGCTTAGTGCTTTTTTTAGTGAAAAATAATAAAATTTTGATAACAAAAATTAAAAAAAATGATCAGACCCGCCCAAGCCTAGCCCAAGATTGAGGCCAGGACAAGGCTCAGCCCACTAACCTGTCCAAGGCCCAAATAATCTTGGACTTAATTTTTTTGGTCGGTGGGCCGACTCGACCTAACTCATATTTTAACAGGAACTCACGAAACCTATATTTTAACAAGAGCTCACGAAACCCGACATGAGACAAGTCAAACGGAGCTAGATTCACACCCCTAAAAGGAGACTACTTTTGAGAGTTTAATTTTCAAAGAACATTTGGTGTTTCAGAAAAAGGGAAAATGTGTTTGCCTTTAATTGACATGGTCACATGGACGCCACAGCCATGAACTCTAATGTGATCAAGACAAGAATCACAAGAATTCAAATAAGAGCTATTGGGATTACTTTTAACCTTTCACTTATGTACTAGCGCTAGTTACCTTTGTCTTTTAATAATCAATAGCACTATCTAGTTAATTAATTTTTATATGTTGAGTGGGTTTTAGGTTACTGTGGCTAGTGATTGGTATGTTGTTGAAGACAATATCACTCCTTTTAGAATTTTCTAAGTTGTGGATCAATATATCAATTATTTTTGAATTTTAAAAATTAGATTAGTTGTTGTGCGATCAAATTAAGCAATACTAATAACCTTATTTGACAACTAATGAACATTTTTTCATGAGAATGGAGATGCATCATAGTTGACAGAGTGAGAGAAATTAAGATCAATTTTTTCTTAAATCAAATTATAACTACTCATTAATATTTTTCACTTTTCAATTATTTAATAACTATTTTCTTTCCTCACGTATAATAGAACTTGTTTCTGAGTAATTTTGAGTCACTAACGGCTTTTAATAAGTATTAAATATAGCTCTCATTTCACACCTAAGAAACCTACTAAGCTAAGACATGCTATCCTCCACTACTACAAGAAAGTGTGCCAAAAGGACCATGGCCAACTTTGAATTGCCTCTGTCTCGACTCACTTTTGTACTTACTCTTCATGGTTATAGTACGAAAAATTAAAAAGATATATAGCCTCCGTTTAATAAATGGGTTAACTTTTTATTTTTTAATTTTTTTAATTATTTTAATTTGGATTAAAAAGTTTAGTTTAGGAATGACTTTTTAGCTTTTTAAATTTTTAAATTTTTTTTGTAAGAAAAAAGTGTAATGATTATGGATTGAATGTGATGTTTTATTTGTTGTAGGTAAAATAACCTGTTTTGTCTTTTGTGACTAAAAAAGTCCCAAACTTACTTGCCAAACGGAGCCTATCACCGAATGAAATTTACTAAATATTAATTTTGTGTCGATTTATATAATAAATAGCACATATATATAAGACATTATATTTAGAAAATAATAAATTTTATCGTTATTTTTCAAATATGATAGGTCCTTCAATTATACATACATAACATTTATGTGTGTAATCGTGGAGGGAGGGAAGGGGTTTAAGATGGGCGATGCCCCCTAAATTGCAATTCCTTCGAGTTTAATAATGTTATATTTTCTTAATTTGTTACCGCTAAATGATTTTAATGATGTGTTATTGAGATTAAACTCCACATTATGAAATATTTGATAAATCAAAATTTGACACTTTTCAGACACATCATTAAGAATAATTTTTAAAGATGATAAATTAAATGTCTCAAGTATTTTTCTTTATAGTTTGATTACTATTTTTGAAATGTTTGTCAAATATAGAATGTTGGCCCCTAAATCTTTAATCAAATTAAAGATAAATAAAATATTCCTTTTAATCAAAAAAATCAAAACTCCTAATTCTATCAAGAATCTCTTCTTATTTTGCATATTGTGATTGGTTTGTGAGGGACTACTTTCTCACCTTATAAGCAGGCTGGTTTCTCTTACCTTGCATAGGCCTTTTCCCCCAGTGAGGGAGGAACAAAACCGTGCGATCGGAATGCCAAAGTGGACAATATGTGCAAAGCACGGAGCCGATGGCTTTATTTGGCGCTGTGGGAACTCCCTCCGGGTTGACCGGAGCCAGCGCGGCTGGGGGCTAATGTGCGGGAAATCCCACATCGGTCTGTGAGAGAGTACTTTCCCACCTTATAAGCAGGCTGGTTCCTCTTACCTTATAAGCAGCCTGCTTATAAGGTGGGAAAGTAGTCCCTCACAGACCGATGTGGGATTTCCCGCACACATATGATTTTCTCTTTTCAAATCATTATGCAGGCCTTGCCAAATGGACAAAATATTTATGTTTACTTAACTTTGGCAACTCAAATATTTTTTTTTGTTAAAGTTTTAATTTTCTTAAATAAGTAATGAACATATATCTAACTTTTAGGCTAAGTTTGGCAAGTCCAGAATTAGCCAAAAAGTCAAAAAGTTACTCAAAAAGTTAAAAAGTTAACACTATTCATCAAAAGTCAACAATTACGGCTGCACAACTCATAATTTTAATTTTCTCTTACAAATCAATTTTTACAATTTTTTATTACACATTTTTCCATAAAAAGTCAAAAAATTAATCCAAACATTTATATTTTCTTCCTCAATTTTTTAGTTCAAAAAAATAAAAAGTGCACTTATTTAAGACACCCCAATCAACCCCTTAATCTCATAATAACATCACTTCCCTAATATCGATTTTCATATAACAAATCTTTTATCTACAATAGTATCATTTTATTTTCAATTTTTTCACGCTTTGATGCATAAACATCTTTTTTTGGGTGAATAATATAACATCTTTCAACCCTCCACCCTGAAAAGGAAAATTTAAATTTTGATTCTACCTCCTTGTGCGGATCTATAGAAGATGTGAAAAAATCGGATAAATTCATAACTGGATATATCGCACCCATCTACATAAAAATAAGGAAGTAATTTAAAAGTAGAATTTTTATACATAAAACTTAACAAGTTTTAAGTTAAAATGGTGGATGTTTTAGTTACAAATGAAAAGATCATAAAAGACTAGATCATTCTGTATAAAAATTCAATTTTCCTTATCATTATCCCCCAAAAAAACCCAAAACAAACTAAGTTGCTTTCATATGGGGACTAGAGTCTCCTCGATTCCATTTTTGTGGTATAAAAAACCTTGGCCACCAAAGCAAACTCTCCTCGTTGCATGCATGGCGGCAGACAAGCGCATCTTCCATTTCACGCTATCATACGCCTTTCCCCTAAAATTGTGAACCAATCCAGAAAACCATTTTCAGCTTTTCAACAACAACTTTGAACACCGCTTTGCTCTTTTGAGTTTCCCCAAGTACTGCATGTACCTTATGACCATATTTTATTAACAATTGGTGAAAAAGTGAATGTTAGAACCCTAGCTTTTTTACTTGAGTTTGGGCTTTGGAGGATTGTCTATAAGGCCCCTCTGCTGTTTCATATGCTTTCCCTCTTTTTGTTGTTCAACAACAAACATACCCACAAACAAAAGGAAAAGTGAAAATGGTGTCCATAAGGTTTAGCAGCTTTGTACTTGGAATTTTGTTCATTTTCCTAGCACTAAGGGACTCTGTAGCATACAACCACAAAGGTAATTCCCTTTTCCCTGAACTTCTATACCTTGTATTACATATATTTAAAATATAAGCAATGGTTTCCTAAACTTGTTTCAGCTAAGGAAGAAATGATAATGGTGGTCACTGATGGAAATGCTTTCATGGCCATAGGACACAGTCCTTCCACTCTTGAAAAGGTAGAATTTGATTTTTTTTTTTTGATGCCATAGTTTGGAGGAGAGAGACTCGAATTCTTGATCTCCTAATAACGTGTTAGGGTTTTGGGCCTCTGGCCGACTATTATCACATAATTGATCTTGTTGTTATCTATGTTTTTAAGTATATATATATAGAAGAGAGTGATTTGAACTCTTGACCTCCTACTGAAGTGTGTTAGGATTTTACACCTCTAACTCACTATTGCCACATAGTTGATTCTTGTTGTTATCTATGTTTTGACTTAGTATGTTTTAATTATGAAGTGTCTTAGGGTTTTGGGCCTCTGACCGAGTATTGTTACATAATTGATTCTTGCGATTATCTATGTTTTGAGTTAATATTTTTTTTAATTATGAAAAACACATGTCACAGGAAAATATATATGCCGTGCCTAGTGCAGTTGTTGAAGTTAACAATGGAAAACTTGGAGGAAGAAAAATGATGGAGAAAGTGGTTTTGGGGAAAGAGATGGTGAAAAGAGAGGAAGGCATGAAAATCAGAGAAGCTCCAAAGATTTCAGGTGCAAACCGCTTTGATCGATATTGTAAACATAAAGGGAAAGGAAAGTTGAACATAGAATGCAAATTGCTTGGTAGAAGTAGTAGTAGCCCTCCTATGAAGGTTGAAAAGGGAAGTTTAATGCCTTTCATTGCTGATTATAATGTCCCCAAATCCCACCCACCAAAAAATAACTGAGGAAAAGTGTGCATTCCTTTGGAAAATCACTTCTTCTTCTTCTTCTTCTTCTTCTTCTTTTTCGTGTTTTATTTTTTATTTTTTATTTTTTTTTCTAGAGAAAACAAGTGCGGAATATGATACTTGTATGTATGCGACAAAGATTTTAATGTTCAATAGAAAATTTTGATTTTAAGGTACAACAAAGTTCAAATTTTCTTTTTTTCTTTTCTTAGTGGTGCAATTAGATTCTGGACAACTGAATGGATGCTTGGATTACTACTAAAATAGTTGGTAGTATGTTGGGTTATGTGCACAACTGTTGACCAAACTAGAATGAAGGGTAATAGGGGAAGAAGATGGGTTGTGTATGGTTCAATTTGAATATTTGTTTGTTTGGATGCAGGAAGGAATATGAATGTGCCAAAGCCCCATGGAACCTCACAAGGCCACATGCATCATCAGGTTAATCTCTCTCTCTCTCTCTCTCTCTCTCTTAATTTTATAATTGTTACATATTTAAAGTTATAAACACAAAATATATATTCCCAAAGACATATATACACGTACCGATGCATAAGTTGGTTTGATTTGAGTGATTTGGTAAGAAATAAAATAGAATTACCGTATCCCTTCTGTCTCGTTTGAATGTTTATGAAAAATGATAAGAAAAAGAACTCATTACACACACCTATCCTTTCCTAATTTGGCCTCTTTTAGTGAGTGAGAAAGTTAGCTTTCAAAATATCAAATTTGTCTATCAAAGTTAAAGGAGAAAAAAAAAATATATCATTCATACCCAGACAAGATGAAAATTATTTTAGGAAAATAAGATAAAAACAGTATCTTTTGTTTTCTTTTAAGTTGTTTATATCATTTAATTCTAGTGGATCTGTTTTAAATATCAAAAGATTATTATTGCACATCACCTTACCCTATAAAAAAAAATGAAATGGACAAATTGCATTAGTAATCCTGGTGGTTTGTTTCATTTGTCAATGTAGTTATTGTATTTTTAATTGCATAAATTGTGGCATTAAATTTTTTAAATTATGTCAATTTAATGCAATTAACAATGTCCCTTAAAAAATTGGACTGAAATCGATGGAAAAACTATACATTTAAAAAAATGAATGGACCATATCAAATTTGATGCACCTTCTCAATCACTTTGAGGACTACGGTGATAGAGAGGTTCGCATTTAATTTGAAATAATTCATTCATTTTTTTATGACTCTTGAATTTTGTCTAATCTCTTAACGAACATTATTAACTGAATTAGATTGACACAATATAAAAAATAAAATGACAAACAGATGCAAATGAAACTATAGGAACCCAAGAAAAATTTGTTTGTATTTTCCTCTCCAAACACTCAACTTTCGCTTTACCTTTTCCACAGAATGATGCAAGCTTATTAAAGCCCAAGCAATTGGGCTCCAAAAGACTGGGCAATTCAGTGAAGGAGTCAGTTGATCTCCACAAACCCAACACACTATGCTCCCAAGATTCTGAAGCTGACACAAGTAAGGACAGATCGGCATGTTCAATGCCTAAAGTCTCAAAAGAACTAATTGATTCATTTCAAAATCTTCAATCCCAAAAGCTTCTTGATGAGACCTCCTCTGGGATTGTGAACCTAATGAATAGAGACTATCCAGGAGCAGGTAATCCTCCTCACAACAATTATGAGCTTTTGCATCAACAAAAGGAGATACCTTAGCTTAGCTCTGTTTCACAATTTTGCTGAAGAATAGAGGGTTTTCATGTTCTCATAACGAAATGTTGAAGAGGGTATCAATTTTGTTAGTTTCATGAGACTTATGGTAAAGTTGTGGACCTATCATTTTAAAACTAAAAAAATCAAATCAATCGATATGTTTCCTAATAGAAATGATGTTATTGACATCTCATTTTGGTAAATGATTCCATATAATTTTTTTTAAAAGAAGTATTTTTTGTTTAAACAATATATGCATACAAATTGATATAGATAAAAAAATGATGTAGTAGAATTGTGAGCCAATCACTTCAATTTATAAAACCCATCAATAAGTTTCTTAATGTTAAAAATGTCACTAACACATTATTATGATGAATAATTCTATACAAATTTTAGAAGAAAAGTCTTTTCCATCCAACATGGTACATGAAGAAACAACAATTAATGTTCCCAAAGAGCCATCAGGAGGAGGCAAATTGGAAAACAAGTTAAAATTACCCACATTCCCATCTTGTTAACTTGTGCTGCAAAAGTGTGATGGGTATTATCTGTCAGTTAACCAAAGAATGCATTTTCTATTCCAAAATTTTCCATCATACAAAGTGGAAAATCGGAAAATCAATGAGAATTTATTTCATATATTCATGGGCATGACCAAGTGGTACTTAGGGTTGTTTGGCATGTGTTATTTTAGTACATCTTTTTTATTTTTTATTTTATTTTATTTTATTTGAATTATATCACTTCTTACTTAAATTATATTATTTCTCTACCACATTAGTATTACACATCTTTTTAAAAATCATTCTAAGCAACTCCTTAATAAAGATTGTATTTTTTATCTGATGTTAAACTCTTTTGATTCTCTTCTTTCATGAATCCCACAAAATCATAACTAAACTCCACGCCTTAGATCAAATGTTATTAGTGCTCTATTATCATTTGACAATGATCTATAAGATCAACAATTTTGTGTGCTCCATATAACAAATTTAATTCTAAATTTGGCATAAATGTTTGGTTTGGTGTGCCTGTGTGAATGGGCATCTTCTGGGCACTTGCAAAGTCAAACTTTACTTTTCCAATTACTCATGGACACGCTTAAGTTCACTCAGAAATTAGACCAAAAGTCAACATTTGACCAATAGAATGTATCTTCTCTTCTGACATAAATATATAAAACTCAGTCTTCGCAACTCACTAACCCCTTTGATTTTGTTGATCATAAATTCAATGCTATGTTATATTAAACAAATAAAATATATAAAATTTATTATTACATTTGTCATTAAAAAAAATATGAATGGTTTATTTTGAAAAATATAATTATTTTTTATTTTTTAGTGATAAATATAATAAATTGAAGAAGTTACAATTATCGAATTAATTTAATTTTTTTATAAATAAAATATATAAAATTTCTAACCAAATAAATTATTTAAATTATTAAAATAAAATCCATACTGAACATAAACTCAAACATCGACCTCCGTACTGGATACTCTTATACAACTCACTAGTTTCCTTGCTTTTGCTAATATAAATTCAATGTTCTATTATATTTAAATATATATATATATATATATAAACAAAATTTATATTACAAAATTTATAATCATACAAAATTTATCACAAAAGAACGAACTTTATTTCAAATCCGAGGTCCCCAAGGAGCTGAATTAATCACACGACATATCTTTTATTGAGCTCACCTAAATGCTTCACGAATTTCTCCAAATCTCTGGTTGAGCTTCCTCCTTTCACAGGAGCATTCCTGGCCATGTTACGCAGCTGCATAACTCTAGCTCTCTCAGTCCGAGACCCAATTACCGACTCACCCAACACCCGAGTCAACTCGTCTACATCTGGAACATTCTGTGATCCTCCTTCACAAGCTCGAATTGCCACGCCTAGTTGGTCCACCAACAACTTAGCGTCGGTGAACTGGTCCGCATTCATTGGCCACGTCAGCATAAGTACCCCAGCTGATATACCCTCTAGCACTGAGTTCCAACCACAATGAGTCACGAAGACACCCACAGCTCGATGTCTCAATATTTCCACTTGGGGAGCCCACCCCTTAATTATGAAACTCCTATCTCCCACACGATCATCAAATCCATTTGGGATCGCTCCATCATTACCTGCCGCATGTCCTTGATCGGATGCCTTCACACACCAAATAAAATGCACCCGACTGCACTCGAGCGCAGCCGCCAACGCTTCCCTTTGCTTACTTGTCAGTGCCACACGGCTCCCGAAGCACACGTAGACAACAGAATCATCAGCCTTCCCGTCGAGCCACGTCATGACCTCATGAGCTGCCACCGCACTCGATCCACCGCGGTTAGTGAGTCCCACTAGATCATTATCTTCCGGAGGCAATAAGGGTCCGACAGCCCAAACCCGATCGTGCCCCATTTCCTTCTTGATATGCTCAATGTAAACTCGTTCTAACTCAGTGAACGAGTTGAACACGACACCCCAACTCTCTTTATTAGCCAACATCCCATTTCTGAAGAACTCATGTTCTGGGTCTCCTTCCTTGAAATCACAATAATAAGGTGTTATTTGCCACCAAGGGTAAATCGGAGAATTAGGAATTTCCGAAAATGAAATCAAAAAATTTTCGTTGCCCAGATCATTGTTCTTCGGTAGGTTGCGCCACAGGGAATCCAAAATCGACGCGGTAAAAGCGCCAGATGGCCAAAAGGCAAGTCGTGGCACGCCGAGATGGGTTGCGAGGCGGTGGGTCCACCCCAGGAAGAAATCAGATACGATGGCCACAGGGGGCGAAGGGTGGGATCGAAACCATCGGAGGATAGGATCGTAAAGTTCACCCGTGGCGCGTATTTTACCGAGAAGGCCTGATTGTGAGGAAGTGAAGGAGTGTGGAAGAGGGAGAACCAGGGGTTGGATGGACGAGGACAGGTGGCTAGAGAGGATTGGTTGGAGAAGAGGGAGGTGAGATGGGGAGACCAGTACGGTGATGGTGAGGCCGCGGGTGAGTAACAGGTGGGTGAGATCGAGGAGAGGTATAATGTGTCCCGGCGCAGGAAATGGGTAGACGAGGATATGTGCGCCGGTATTTCTAGGTATAGTACACATGGCTATAACAAAAATGAAAGTGAAAGGTTTGATGTTTTTTTATTTATTATAGATAGAATAGTGATTGTTGTGTTTTCATTTATAACTTTGCACAAATCAAACTTTGATAAAGAAAATTTGTGCGTCATGTCTTACGACAAATGTCTAGTCAATTTTTAACACGTTTGTTTTGCTCTTGACTTGTGCTACTTTTGAAGTCAACTTTCCTCGTCTGGCAAAAGCGGTCGGCTTTTCCTCGCACCGCCCAATTTTGGAGTTGAGTTGAGGTGTGTTGTATAAGTATATTTTTTATTTTTTTGGATTATATTAGTTTTTTTATTTTTTTAATATTTTTTTTATAAAAATTAAAAATATACTTATTTAGATTATTTTAAATAATTTTTTAATTTTGTTTAATCAATTCAAATAATAAATTATTTAGAATACCAACAAAATTTAGAAAAAATTAGTGATAAATTTGATTTAAGGAGAGTATAAAACATTGGATAATTTTTTTATTAGTAAGAAGTCTATCCTTTGTGAAATAGTTTGGTGATAAATCATTTTATTGTTTTGAAACGACGTTTTATTTCTAATTTTATTTCTTAATTTATCCATGGACTTTTTTTTACTGTCTGTTCAAATTATTTTCAATCTGTTCAAATTTATATCTATTTTTTAAAATTATTTGGAAGCAATCTGAAGCAAATCTCACATAATATGAAGAAAACTTTAAGCAATAAACACCTAGATTTGCTATTTTTTGTTCATATTTCTAACGATTTCAGCAATCATCTTCTTTGTGCTTTATCTTCTCCATAAGAAAGCTTATTTGAATGAGTGATTCCAAGGGTTTGGAATTAGGGTTTCAAAATCGAAGATAGATATCTAGTTTAGGGTTTCAAACTTTTTCTCTTTGTTTATCTCTCATTATTTGTATCAGATCTTAGTCGAAAAGAAGGTTAGGGCTTTGTGATCTGTGAGTGAGAGAAAGGTTTAGGGTAAGAGAGAAAGGGGGATCGGTGATGAGGGATGAAGATGGATATATATATATATATATATATATAGAGAGAGAGAGAGAGAGAGAGAGACTGGTTTGGCTAGAGAAACAAAAGAATGTGTGTGAGAGAGACTGGATTTGCAGAAAAAATAGAAGTTGAAAAGGGTTTTAGAGAAGAGAGAAAGAGGGGGTCAAGTAATGAAGGTTCTAGAATGAAAGAGCGATGAAATAGAGTAGTGGGGTTTTGATCCAATAAATAAATAAATTATGAAGTATTTTTGAGCCGTTGATGTGATTCAATAGCTACAAAATAGGTGATTGTGAAGGTGAATTATATATATATTTTTTAATTTTAATTTTTTTTTTAAATTTTTTTATTTGTCTAGTGGGGTAGAATGCAAATATTTGAATTTTTTTTTTAAAAAAAAAACATTTCAAAAAGGTCATAAAAAGACAAAAATAAATAAACCACAAAAAATTACTCAAAAATCTATATCAAAACATCACTTATAAAATTGGAAGAAAAGTTCGTTAGAATTTGCCAAAATAACTGCGTATCATTGGAGCACTATTGCTAGAATTTGACAATTTACTATTATAGCATGTCAAATTATAACTTTGTTATAATAGTATACACCATTAGAGATGCTCTTACTGGAATTAAATTAAAATTTTTTTTTCTTTCACATACATAACTATACTTTCTAAGAACGACGATTGTAAAATCAATTCAAATTGAAAAGAAATTCATCCGACATGGATTATCTAAAACTCAACATGAATTCAATCCACAACTATAATCAAAAGAACACCCACAGAATTGGTGAACAATGGAAGAAAATATATAATCCAAGCAAAATAAAAAATGACAAAGTTTAAATTAAATAGAAATTAACCAAAAATTGGATTAAAAATTAGAGCGCAACAATTAGATTTAGGGCACAAATCAAAAAAAAAAAAATCCTCAAATCAAAAAAAGCAATGCAATCAATAATTTAAAAATATAAAATAAAACCAGGTACTAGATTAATAAGCAAAGTTTTCATATCAAATAAAAAGTAGTGAATTTAATTAGATTTAGGACATAAAGAGAGAGATGACATATTGGCCGTGATTGGATGATTAGATGTCGTAGAAATCACCGAACCAATTGATTTGTCACCCTTAGAATTTGAGGTCGCCGTTTGCTTGGTTACGGTTCGATCTCATAGTTTGCTTCCAACGCTGGGGTGAGAGTTACAGATGGGGAGGAATAGAAATGTGCTGGGTTTATGTGATAGGGTTTTGTTATTTACATACTTTACCCAATATATTTTTATAATTTAATTTAAATCCCCCAAGTCATTTGTGTGTTGTGAAGTTATAGTGATTTTTTGGCTAATAGATGTAGTTCCCAAACGAGCGTTTGTCATTTGGTGTTGGGGCTAAATTAGTTACAAAAAAATAAAATATGCTAAAAAGTTAATAAGATAAAATGTTTTATTCAAATTATAATCATTTTATTTTTTTTCTTACAAAAGTCTCTCAAACAAACTTTTTAACCGGAGTTAAACTAGTGAAAAAAGTAAAGAGTCAACTAAGCCTTGGTTTGGTAAAAATATTGGGACTAAATAAGCACATAAGGACAAAAAAAAGCTACAAAATCACAAAATGACAAAACACTTGACTTTTGATGTAAAATTACCAAATTGACCCATATGCAAACAAAAAGTTAAAAAAGTATAATTTCCAAGTAGAGGGTAATTTTGTCATTTCAATGCCAAAAAGCTAAAAAAACCAAACAAGAAAACCAAAGAAACAAAAAAATCTCATGCTAAAAAAAGTAAAAAAAACTAAAAAACTAAGTTTGTTAAAGGACACCTAAAAAATCACATGCCAAGCGGCAGCATAGCTGAAAATTGTAAAATTAATAAAAGATAAATTAACTTATGAATAAGAGAATAACTAGTTTCAAGAAACAATGTTAAATTTCATAAACTTAAATTTAATAATGTCATTTCAAATGTAAACAAAAACCACTTTTTATCTTATTTTGTTATGCATCTAGTTTGTTAGAGTAAATTATTAATAAGTTCTAATAATTGAATTTAATTCTTATCAAATTCTATTAAAAACAAGTTTTAGTAAAATAGTCACTAAAAATAATTTTTTGTGACGATTTTTTACTTATGTCATTAAAATTTGACAATTATAACTTTTTTTATCACGGTTTTTATAAATTATCGCTAAAACTTACAATTAATGATATTTTTCTGTGATAAATTTTTCAAATTGCCTCTGAAAGTTGAAAATTAATAATTTTTTTGTAATGGTTTTTTTAAACTGTCATTAAAACTTATAATTAATAATATTTTTTATGAAAAAATTTTCATATTGTCGCTAAAAATTAACAATTAGTGAAACATTTTAATAATATTTGATGAAAAATATCATTAACTTTTACAAAAACTATTAGACAATAAATTTACTTATTAAGACATACATATAAATCTCCTCATACTTGTCTATCTATACTTGTCTATCAATTGTTACTTAAAATCGTATAAAACCTGACTATAGAGGTTTTCGGGAGAGTTTTCAATAGCTACAATATCATAAATGTCCCCACTCAATTGGTTAATTGCGTGTTTAAAATGACTGATATTCTCCATGGGAGGAATTTTTATTGCAGGCCAATTAGTGGACACTTACAAATATGGCATATTTGTTGCTCCAAATCACTTCTATTTATTCCATTAAAGGTCAAGATTAGGTTGTTTTCAAATAATAAACAAATAAGAATGGATTCAAAATAAGAGACATAAACAAATTAAAGTGCAATAGATAAAAAATAAATGGCACATGAACAGAAAATAAAAATAATAACAAATAAAAGAACTGAAATTGACATAAGATAATTCCTTTTTTTTTTTTTTTTTTTTTTTTAAATTTTGATTGGCATTCTCATTATTATGAAAAATATGTTACTAATCAATTTTATTTCTCATCAAATTTCATAATTTTCAATGAGAACTGAATCTGACATAATAAAGATAATTCTCTTTCTCTCCATTTCTTTTAATTTCTAATCATTTATAAACCAAACATAATAGAAATCTCTTTCTGGTATTATTTATTTATTTATTATTTCTTATCAAATCGCTTAATGGATGTAACAAATGTGATTTATAATTTTTTTTTTTGGGAACCTTTTGTCTTTAATATTTTTTTATTATTTTTTTTTATTAAATTTGTGTTAAAACTTCACCTTTTCCTTTTCAATCAATCTAGGGTGTGTTTGATTGGACGGACTAGATAAGGAGGAATTAAAATCTATCAGACTTGAATCCTAGGACTGTGAATCTCCCGGACTATTTAGTTGGATTAAATGTGTATCCCGTGTTTGTTTTCTCGTGGAATTAAATGTCTGGAAATGACTATTTTTACTGAATCCAATGTTTGGTCGAACTGACTAGATATGGTAAATGAGCAAAAGACTATTTTACTATTTTTCAATTGTTTACTAAGTAATAACAATATTAAACATATCTTTAATATTTTAATTATTTTTAGCTAGATTAAATAAAAACATAACCTTACATAACACAAGACTCGTATATTCTCTTCACCTGCTTTAGCTTGCTGCACATAAAAACCAGTGTTATTTCTGTTGCACTCTTGATACTATTATATATAATTATTCTACTTGACAATACTTGTAACAGTTGCTTAACTGTCCTCTGTTCTCCAATATATTGGTATCAGAGGACAGTCTATTCCTTTGCTTTGTGTCAAGGTTGGGAGGGCTTGTCCAAATCTTCGAGGGGGCGGAAGAAGGCCTTCTGCTCCAACACTGAATCCTCACCACCATTCACAGTGGAGTGGAAGCCTGCAGCTCGGTTTTGCTCGGTGGCTGGGCCAAATACCCCTGTTTGTGGGTGCGGAGCCCAGTATTTGTCGGATTGAGGCTTGATTACATCGTCCGGGACCACGGTTGGATGGACCTGTTCGTCCAGGTTCTTATCGTACACTGAACCATGCACAGCCCTCCTGCATAATCATCACCATCTCATAATTGTTAGGACAGTAAAATTTACATCAAATA